CTGCCCACAAGCCAAGATGTCTATCAATGTTTCATAGTTTGAGATTGCCAAACAGTTTGGTGTTTTTTGAACATATGAGGTATCAGCAACTCCTTAAAAGTATGAAAACAATGCCTGATTGATTTTTGGAAGCTATAAGAGAATTCAGAATACAAGTCCTCTGCCCTCTTCTATGGCTACAATACTCTGTTATTCCTTCCTTCTATGGTAATCCTTCTATGGATTTTTATTCATAAAATCCAAAATATTAAAACAAACATGTGCAAATTGTATGCAAATTGGCAAGTATGCAAACAATAATTCGAGGAGTATACTCATCCTTATTACAGTCAATACAGTCAGTACTACAGCTTATAAGCACAATAAGATCAGTGGTAAAATAATAGACCAAAGAGCACTTTGAATTATGTTTATTTAATACCTATCAATAATGGAAATCTTTTTTTACCTGTTGTTCTTTTATATCATTCATATGATTTTAACTAGCAATTTATATAATTTAAAATAAAATAACTGTAATGGTAGATGGCATCTTGTATTAAGCAAGACCTCTGATCGTCCAACTTGGAACTATTAGACTGCAGTCTTCTGTATGGCTATGCTGCTTCAAATAATCTCGCCTCTCATTTTATTGGCTCGACTATAACCCATTGATAAAATTCATGTCAGTACATAGGCAGGTACTGAGCATGACAACAAAGGTTAAAAGAACAGGCAACAATGAATATGGAAACATTTTCTACTTTGAAAACCTCTACCATTAAGTTAAATAATCAGTATACAGCTAAGATGTTAGCAGATTATACTGTGCAATTAGCTTGGACACTTAAAAGCAAGCAAAGTATATATTATACCATTGAAATATCAATTCTTAATGTCTGGACTAAAACAAAAGAAACTTTAGATCAGGATGTATCACTCCCAGAAATCTTTCACGTTTTAAATTAACTTTGGGAACAGGGAGATATGTTTTTATTATCATTAAATATTTTATTGTGATTTTTCCATTTTCCATAGTTCCAATACATAAATGATCAGACAGTGTTACTTTTCCTACAGGTTAGATTAATTTTATACATATTCTATAACTCCAAATATATATATATATATATATATATATCTTAAACTTTATACTAATTTTCATGCATTTTTAACTCGGTTATCAATCCACCTGTACCAATTATCCCACACCGTATAGTATTCTGAATCCTCTTTTTCATTTAATTCTAATGTTAATTTATTCATTTCAGCACAAATATTTTCTGAACAATAGATTCCTCAGGTGGTATATTGTTTCCTTTCCAATATTGTGCGTAAGTTATTCTCGCTGCTGTGAGTATATGAATGATTAAATATCTTGGTTTTTTTTTATTATATTTGGTCCTTAGTACACCCAGGAGAAAAGTTTCTGGAATCAGAATTCTGGAATTCTGGTATTGGAGTAAAATACAAAATTGGCTATAAGAATTAATTAATAATACAATCGAATTGATTCCAGGGATATACTTTTTATACCATGTCAATGCCTTGCACAAATCCATTAAAGCTACAGACTCTTTGTGTCAGCATAATCACAGCTGTGCAAGCCCATATTCAACCAGGTTGAATAATGTGTGCCTTTTGTTGTAGACTGATGCTTCAAATATAATTATACCCTTTTCACAATCCTTAAAGGGTTCATTGTAGCAGTTTAGCTTTATTTTCCAGAACTGCTTGAATTCAAACTGAGAAATAAGTTTGAAGTAGACTTGGAACTACCTGGATAAAGACCCTACTGAAATTCAGTGGTGAGAAAAATAAGGTTTTTAGGCAAGAAAATCCAGATGCACCAGTGGTTGGTTGCTACCGGTTCGCCCCAGTTCAGGTGAACCGGTAGCAGCGGACGTCATCAAATATGATCTGCGCAGATGCAGAAGCTTCTGCGCATGTGCAGATGTAGGACGTACGCGAGCGAACCGGTAGCAAAGGTAAGTGAAACCCACCCTTGAGATGCACAGGTATAGAATAAGTGGTACCTGGTTCAATAGTAGTAACTGTGAGAGGGATCTTGGAGTCCTAGCGGACAGTCACTTAAATATGAACCAGCACAGTGCGGCGGTTGCCAAAAAAAGCCAATGCAGTCCTAGGCTGCATTAACAGAGGGATAGAATCAAGGTCACATGAAGTGTTAATACAACTTTATAATACCTTGATAAGACCACACTTGGAATATTGCATACAGTTTTAATTGCAACAATATAAAAAAGATGTTGAGATTCTAGACAGAGTGAAGAGAAGAACAATAAAGATAATTAGGGGACTGAAGTCTAACACATATGCAGTATGATTGCTGGAATTGGGTATATCTAGTTTAACGAAAAGAAGGATTGGGGTGATATGATAGCAGTGTTCCAATATCTAAAGAGCTGCCACAAAGAAGAGGGAGTCAACCTATTCCAAAACATCTGAAGATAGGACAAGAAGCAATGGATGGAAAGTAATCAAGGAGAGAAGCAACCTAGAACTAAGAGAAATTTTCTGAGAGTTAGGATAATTAATCAGTGGAACGACTTGCCTTCAGAAGTTATGAATGCTCCAACACTGGAGGTTTTTAATAAGAGATTGAACAACCATTTATCTGAAATGGTTAGGGTTTTCTGCTTGAGCAGGGGGTTGGACTAGAAGACCTCCAAGGTCCCTTCCAATTCTGTTATTCTGTTATACACATAACTGATAAGTTATCCTGGTGTATTACACACAGAGTTTCCAAAAGGGTTATATCCAAATTGCATTAACAGTGTAATTTGGGTTAAAATGTCTAGTTCTGTTGGTGAAATATTACTGTCCCAAGGTTACACAATTAACCTTACTCTAACCAAATCTCCTGCATCTTGTACCACCCTATACTACAAATAATGTGCAATTCTGTGGAAAACTGGTCAAAATCACGATCACTTTTATTTAATGTGTTTTCTTAAATAATCATTTTGTTTAAATAAGTTACTAGTTTTGTGAATGATGGGCAGCAGAAGCATCCAGTTATTGTATTATTTATGCATGGTGAAATCCATCTAATCTAGTAGATCATGCTATTCAGGTTTTAAACCAATATGATCCAGCAAGAAAAAGAACAAGAAAGGGGTTTTTGTTATATCTAGCATCTTCATATAGAACTGGAACAGTTCCTGTATAAATCCAAGTATAACCACTACTCATTACTGCAGATTCATTAACATAGATAAGTAAGTGTATGGTAACCATCCACCATAGCTGCTCTAGCCATTAGATGCACCGTTGGTGCCTCTTTGACCTCCATATCTGAAGGTCCATAATCCTGCCTGGAGAATTGATTTCACATTGTTCTACAAATGATGCAGAATAACATTGTACTATGGAAACCATTAGTTGTCACTTCCCAATGAATTCTCTTGGCAATAGGAATTCCTAGGGATAGAAAATCACCTCTGCCAAATATTTTCTCAATTTTAAAGCTATTCCACTTTTATTTTGATCTAGCAAATGTCTCTTGGCAGGAGATTTAGGCCATGTTCAGGAGGGATGACCGGATTACTCTGTCCTATAGTTTGGACTAAGCATCAGGCTGCTGGTTCATCTAAAGATTAATAATGGAATATTACAGTTTAACCAAATCCAGCAGGCCCCCTATTATATTCTGACAGATTTATTACTAATCAGGATTAAGCCTTTTAAGGCCCAGGATCACAAGTGTTCCCCACCTCTACCTTTACAGCCTTAAAAGTTACCTCCAGTTACATCTGCTGAAAATCACTGGCACAATGTTTGATACTGAGACTGGAAAAACATGACAATTTTACTGCAGTAAAGGCCTAAAATAGGTTTTACAAACCTACTAATAGCCTTAGTAAATTTTTCAGCTACTAGAAGGTACCCATCCCTATTATATATTGAAGTGACATAATAATACTAGAACAGGTAGAATTAGTGGGACATAATAGTAGAGTCAGTAGAATTGGTTTGACTTGCTGTTTTGTTTCTGTAAGAATTGCTTTGCTAAGAATTAGAACTGCCTCTGCCATTTGTTTCTACCAGTGATCTCACTTATGTGTTATGTTTTTCTCTATCACTCTGTACCTGGTGGATATCTCAAGAAGCAGGGTTGCTAAGAACCCCCCCCTTTCCTGGCACTGCCAAAGGAAGGGATGGGCCAGAGGGCCAGAATTGGGTACTAAACTGATGTCTCTGAGGGTATAAAAAGGACGCCATATCTTCCCCAAGGTGTGGCTATCTCCTCACATGCATTGTATTTGTATGTTCTGAATATAGTCCCACCCAGTATTTTGTTTTTGGCCATAAATAAAATCTGCTTCTTTTTGCAAGCCTCGTCTTGAGTCTCTCTTTTTGGCATTCTGGTGACTCAAGTACATTTTGGGACCTTACAATATGTATTCAGATTCTATTCGTCAGGACTGGTACTCTCTGCATTAGATAGGATAAAGTAGTTGCTTAGGCAGCAAATGTTGAATTATATGAAATGGGTACTGAAGTGCTGGAAGACAATAGCAATAGCACTTAGACATATATACTGCTCCACCCTGCTTTACAGTCCTCTCTGAGAAGTTATATTGCCCCCAACAATCTGGGCCCTCATTTTACCCACCTTGGAAGGATTGAAGTCTGGGTCAAACTTGGGCCAGTGAGAATCAAACTGCTGGCAGTTGGCAGAATTAGCCTGCAATACTGCATTCTAACTATTCACCACACACAATGCTTTCTGTGCCACACCAAGTGTTTGGGCTCTCTCAATGTAGCAAAACTTTTGTTATGCCATAGTTTTCAAGATCACCTATCTATATACAAATGTCTTCCTACTTCTCTTAAAGAACAGTGTTGTGAAATAAATAGGCCTAATGTATATGGGTACAAAATGCTGAAAATATTAAAATGACTGTAGAAATGCTATCTTCGATTGATCCATTTTCTAAGAAAGGCCAAAGAAGACAGATTCAAATGTGTCCTAGTTGGCATTGTGCATCACTTACCTGTTGGAGAAGACCTTGCTGTAGTTAAACACCTGAATTTCCAGCATCTCATTGACATCGATGCTGCTTGCGATGGGCCATCGGAAAGTCTACAAAAATATTGGGAGACAACAAGAAGACAATTGGCATGCTAAGGCACATTTCTTAGATATTCAAGGTATCTATTTCCACCCTGAGCACCATGTATGTGTTGCTCTTCTATAAAAATACAAATAAAGTATATCATTTAGAGCAGAGGTGTTCAAACTTGGCAGCTTTAAGACTTGTGGACTTCAACTCCCAGAACTATCCCAGAAGGCATAGCCGGCTAGAGAATTCTGGGAGTTGAAGTCCACAAGTCTTAGAGCTGCCAAGTTTGAAGACCTCTGATTTAGAGTTTACTATCTAGAATTACCATTAAATTAAATAGTAAATTACTACTAAATTATTTAATTAAATTCTAATTATCATGAGAAATTGCTCAAAAATTGAAGTACCATTCAATGCTTTAGGATTTCTTTTCTCCAAGAAAGATCTCATGGGAATTCTCCAAAATAAAAAAAATAAAATGTTTGGGTTTGCCTGTAAGTCACATAATCATCAGAGATGATGAATATCCATCATTGAGAAGAACCCTATGCTTTTTTGAATTGTCAACATTGCTGGACCTTTATCCTGAACCTGAGAAACTTCAATGGTATATAGATAAAGGATGCAAGAAGCTGAATTGATCGAGGAGTTAGTTTTTAAATATCTTAGTTTTTTACACATAGTTCTGTTAAGACTATAATTAGTCTAGTTTAATAGATGTCAACTGTTTTTGTTTGGTTGGTTATTTAATTGTCACATATGTGAGAGACTTGCCTGTGGAATTCCTTAAAACATTTAATTATCAGGTGGGGGAAAAGATGATAGACTACATGGATTGTTCTTACAGTTTTTTCAGCATGCCATACACTAATTGACAGTTTTCTTCACATAAACTCTTCTTTCTACTCACAAGGCATTTCAGTTTCAGTGAAGAGAAGGGCACTGTGCTGCTCCTTTTCAGGGTGTAACTTTTAAAAATACATTTTTGAACAGAGTCTTTTCAAGAGCAACAGCATGTCGTCAATTAACAAAGAAATAATATATAATAATTATAATTATTGCAGAAGAGAAGGTTAAGGATTGTTTGTTGTTGCAAAGTTGTGTCCGACCCATCGTGATCCCATGGACAACCTTCCTCCAGGCCTTCCTGTCCTCTACCATCCTATGGAGTCCTTTTAAGCTCATGCTGGCTGCTTCAGTGACTCCATCCAGCCACCTCATTCTCTGTCGTCCCATTCTTCTTTTGCCCTCAATCTTTCCCAGCATTAGGCTCTTCTCCAGTGAGCCCCTCCTTCTCATTAGGTGGCCAAAGTATTTGAGTTTCACCTTCAAGATCTGACCTTCTAAAGAGCAGTCAGGGTTGATCTCCTCTAGGACTGACTTGTGTGTTCGCCTTGCAGTCCAAGGGACTCACAGGAGTCTTCTCCAGCACCATAGTTCAAAGGCCTCAATTCTTTGGCGCTCAGCTGAGCATTGTTAGCTGTCTTCAAATAGCTGAAGAGCTGTCATACTGTAAACTTATTCTTGAACTTATTCTCTTTTCCTCCAAAAGGTAAGACTAAAACTAATGGGATGAAATTTTAAGGCCGTAGATCAGATACTAGGAAGAACAGTAAGAGCTGTCAATTAGTAGAATAGTTACCTCATGGAATGATTTCTTCCATTTTGCTGGAGGTTTTAAATAAGAGACTGGAAAGTCATTTATTAGAAATGTTGTAGTGAATCCTGCAGTGTGAGGGGAATTGAACTTGACGACTATTTTCAATTCTATGATTTTATATGACTCTAGGTCAGTTCTCATAAATTTGAAGACAAATAAAAGAGCCTAGATATCCTTTCCTGGCACACAGGCTTATTCAACTGCTTATGTGGTTTGATTTATTATTATAGTTTTACGATATCTTTCTATTAAAAATGTCAATGGGGCTTTAAAGCAAATAATTAAAAGACAACGAGACTACAAACCAATAAATAAGCAAGGTTAAAATCAATGCCAGAAGCAATCACGTCGAAATGAATACTCATCACAATGTAAGAGGTTGGGTGCTGTGAAGGAAATAATATTGTGACCAGGTGCAACTTTCCAGGAAAGGGGTTTTGTAAGCAGGATATAGAAGCCCTTCTCCTTGTTAATATTGACCTTGCTCAGATAATAAAGGTATCCAAAAGGCTTCCATATAATTCTGTCTCCTCCTTCAGATCAAGCAGTCCTTTTTACTCTCTGTCTGAATGATGGCTGGGAATGAGAGCACTATAATTCAATCCATTTGGACAGCACCAACAGTGCTATCTACCCGAGTGTATGGCTAGGTGGGAGAAGATGCTCATTTTGGAGAACAAGGACCACAAAAAGTAATACCTACATGGCAGTGATGGGTTGCCCCCGGTTCGCACCGGTTCTATAGAACCGGTAGTAAAACCTGCAGGAGGCTCTGCCCACTGACCCCGACATCATCAGAACGCTTCTGCGGATGCGCAGAAGAGCGTGCGCGCGGCCCCATTGCAAACTGGTAGTAAAGGTAAGTAGAACCCACCCCTGCTACATGGGCTTTCAGAACCCTGCAGAATGTTACAATCTTGTATTTAGATTATTTGTCACGAAGAGGCTCTTTTGTCTTTTCAATCACTCTTTTATGAACTGTTTGCACTTTCTCTTTCATTACACAGGTATGAGTGGATTGACTGTTAAATCACACTGGATAAAATGCAAGGAGAGAGAGGGAAGGGAGGGAGGGAGGGAAGGAGGGAGGGTGAGAGAACCAGGGAGGGAGAGAGGAAGGGAGAGAGGGAGAGAAGGAGAGAGAGAGAGAGGGAGAGGGAGAGAGAGATTCAGAACAATATCCGTACAGTGTCTGTTTTAAATTCAATTTAAAACAGACACTGTACGGTTCTTCCTACACTTATAAGAGGTTTCACTTGCATTGCTTTGAGAAAGGTCCAAGATCAATATCTAGCGGCATCTAGATTGTGCTGTTTTGTTTAAAGGTAACAGTTAGTGGGAAAGTCTCTCAGCAGGTGGCAGCAGCTGGCCAATTTTGTCTGAACTTGGAAGCTAAACAAAGTCATGCTTGGCTAATACTCATAAAAGTATCCAGCAGGAAATCTTAAGATTACAGGCCGGCTGAGAAATCAAAAAAAAAAAAAAAACATTCCAAAGAAAGACAATGTTAAACTACTTAAATATTTTTGTCAAGAAAACAACATGGTTTCTTTGTAATCTTGTAGTGCAGCTCAACGATGGGGTTTTAAGTGGAAAAGGCTTTTCTTTGCCTGGATTTGGCAAAGCAACTGCCGGTTGAAGGAAATAAGCAAATAAAAATGTAGCACGTGCAAAAGGTTGAGTTCATAGGATTTCAAGGAAAAGCCAGGAAGACAAAAAGCACTTGAAATACTGTAGAGCAGGGGTGTCAAACTTGATTTCATTGAGGACCGCAAGAGGGTTTTGTTTTTTTTTTTAATTTGATTTATATGCCGCCCTTCTCCGGAGACTCAGGGCGGCTTACAATGCGTTAAGCAATAGCCTTCATACTTTTGTATATTTATACAAAGTCAGCTTATTGCCCCCACAAACTGGGTCCTCAATTTACCTACCTTAGAAAGGATGGAAGGCTGAGTCAACCTTGAGCCTTGGCGAGATTCGAACCTGCAGTAATTGCAGGCAGCTGTGTTAATAACAGGGTTGTGTTTGACCTTGTGGGTCCAGGCTGGGTGTGGATAGGCTGGCCACGCCCAGCTAGATGTCACTCCTGTCGGGGGCATCTGTGGTGGCTCAAACGCTCTTCCAGCGAAAATGGGCTCCCGACCTCTGTTTTCACTGGCAGAGGGTTGCAGGAGACCGTGTCAGCCAAAAACAGAGTTCAGGAGTCCATTTTCACTGGCAGTAATACCGCGGGCCAATCCTTCGCTGTTTCCAGGGCGGCCCCATGGGCCAGATCTAAGTACCCCGTGGGCAGGATCCAGCCCCCGGGCCTTGTGTTTGACAACCCTGCTGTAGAGGCAGGCCAAAGTTGGGCAGGCCAATGGTCTTGAACTAGAGGAAAGCAAGTTCTTACATTCCAGGATATGTAAGATTCATGCATGTAATCATTGTACAAACATGCTTTGGCAAAGTCTTGCTAGCCATTAGCCTCATTAACTCTTTTTTAAAAATATATGTTCATTACATCATCTTTGTCTTATTCTTGGCCTACTGTAGAAAAATCTAAATTGTTTTTTATCTATTCCAACTTAGAAGTGGTACTTTCTTATTTACCCCCAAGTGAGCCTTACGATATGACCATTCCATACCACATCACTGATGATATTGTTGATGTCCTGGTCAGGAGCTGGAATTTCCTTGGCTCTTCTGCAGGAAGACATCTCTCTCTCAATCAGGGCAAAATAGAAGCATAAAGTAAAACCATCTATGGCTATTTGGGGTTGATTTGGTATCTACTGGAGAGACTGGACTTATTTTACTTTTCTTCCTGTCCTTGCAGTGCTGCTGGGGAAGGGATTGGATGGAGTTTGTTTTACATTTTATTTTTTTCCTATATCAACCATTGAGAGTTTTTCTTTTACTGTGATGGCTTACAAATAGACCAAATAAATAAAATGCCTCCTACTAAGGCAGCATTTAACATCCAGCTGCCTGCAATTACTGCGAGTTCAATTCTCACCAGGCTCAAGATCGACTCAGCCTTCCATCCTTTCTAAGGTGGGTAAAATGAGGACCCGGTTTGTGAGGGCAATAAACTGACTTTGTATAAAATATACAAAAGTATGAAGGCTATTGCTTAACGCATTGTAAGCCGCCCTGAGTCTCCGGAGAAGGGCGGCATATAAACATAAATAAATAAAATAAAATAAAATAAAGAGTCATTTTTTAAAATTTCCACAACATACAAATTGATTGATTGAATGAATGAACGAACAAATGAATGAACAAACGAATGAATGAATGAATGTCAGTCTAGTGAGGTAGTCCAGATAGGAAGCATGCCAAATGAACTAATATTACATTATTATAGGGTTACATTTA